GGGGCGCGGTGTGGTGTTCAGGGGCGCTGTGTGGTGTTCAGGGGCGGGGTGTGGTGTTCAGGGGCGCGGTGTGGTGTTCAGGGGCGCTGTGTGGTGTTCAGGGGCGGGGTGTGGTGTTCAGGGGCGCGGCGTGGTGTTCAGTGGGTAATCAGGGGTCATCAGACTCTAACTCCTCCCCATCAGACGTACAGTGAGAGCAGGTAGATGCATCAGAACGTGTGAGAACTTTCTCCTGATGCTGTCCCTGTTCCTGCTGCAGGAGGAGAAGGAGATCCCTACCTCCGTTTTCGTGAAGGAACCTCCTCCGTTCCCTCGGGATGAGATCCCAGAGGAAGGAGAGCCGTCGGCTCCTGGGGTCAGCGACGTGAAACCGGAGGGCGGCTTCCACACCATCGACCTGTCTTCTGACGAGGACGTTGGTCTGGAGGCCGACATGGATGAAGACGAGCCGTGGCCTCAGGATCTGGACAGCATGGACACGTCCACAGCGGATAAACTGAAGAGGTCCAGCCTGAAGAAGGTCAGGGCCCCAGAGAGGCCAGCAGATAGCCAGGTGTTTGATTGGCCAGACGGCAGTAAGCTCCTCTCCTTCTGTGCAGGTGGACTCTCTGAAGAAAGCCTTCTCCAGGCAGAACATTGAGAAGAAGATGACCAAGATCGGGACAAAGATAGTTTCTGCTGAGCAACGTGAGAAGATCAAGCAGAGAACGGCCAGCCTGAAGGTGTCTCCTCTGACCTTTGGGATGAGGAAGGTACAGCGGTCTCCTCTGGTCTCCTCTGGTCTCCATCTGGTCTCCATCTGGTCTCCATCTGGTCTCTGAGGGCTTCCTCTGGTCTCCAGACATGATGTTCTTCTGTGTCTCCTCAGGCTCGCAGCAGCTCAGACTCTCAGCCTCCTGATGGAGCAACCAGGGAGTCCCTCTCTGCTGAGGTGGACCTCCAACTCTCTCCTCCATCCTCCACCCAGCAGGAGGTCCCCTTCACTGAGGTCCACGCCCAGCTGGCTCCTGCTGACCATCAGGGAGGACTCCCTGAGGAGGAGGCAAAGAGGGAGGAGCAGGAGGAGGCTGTGGTGGAGAACATGGAGGAGCTGAAGGTGGAGAAGGAGGAGGAGGTCAGGGAGGAGGTGAAGGAAGGTTTAGTGGTGGTGGAGGCAGACGTGTCGGTGGTCTCTGAGGGACTCAGTGAGGAGTACGCTCTGTCCTCCACCCTCCCTCATGGGAGAGGAGAAGATGAGGAGAAGGAGGAGGACGCCTAAAGGAAAGGGGGGGTGAGGAGAAACCAAATCCAACCTTCAGAGGTTCTTCTAGGAACCATGAAGACAACTAAAGATTCTTCTGCTTTTCTCCTTGAACTAGAGTTCTCCTAACGTCTCCTCAGATAAAACCTCCAGCCTTTCAGAGATCTGGACCACAGACCAAACAGGAAGAACTTCTTGAGGTGTTCCTTTAGGTCCATAGGACCTCCACCGCTTCATATCTTTGAAACCTTCCTTTGTTTTCTGTTGAGTCTCAGGTCTGGAGGATCATCTGGAACCTTATGGGAACCAAACCAGCCCCCAGGTTCCTTCAAACCTTCTTCTTTCCATCATCCAGCTTCATTCCCACCAGAGAACCATCATCCAGGTTCCTCTCTACCAGCAGACCATGGATCTCCACCTCCTTCTTGATGTTTGGAACATCCTCTGAAGGTCTCTTCTTCTAATGTCTTTCCTGAAGGTCTTCCTCAGGTTGGTCCACCTTCACCGCAGTCCGGTTAGGTTCCTTCAGTCTTCAGGTTGATGCTCCTTCCTCAGATCTCCTCGTTCCATAAAGTTCCCGTCCAGGACCGTTCCATTGGTCCTGATAATGTTGTAGAGCTTCCCTCCAGGGTTCTTCTGATGATCCTCAGGTTCACGCATACTAAGAAGGGAATACCCTGCGTGGTCTCCAAAGTTCCTCTGCAGTCCACCCAGGGTGCTCCTACATTCCAAAGGAGTTCCTCCACATTCCCATTCAGGAGTTTTCCAAAAGCTTCTCCTGCTGAGGTTACTCCAAAGGTTTCTGTCTGCTCCTACCTCGGTGCCGCCACCGTTCTCCTCATGTTCTCCTCATGTTCTCCTCATGTTCTCCTCATGTTCTCCTCATGTTCTCCTCATGTTCTCCTCATGTTCTCCTCATGTTCATCAGGAACCCAGAGGGAGCTCCATCTCTCCCTGAACGTTCTGCCATAGCCTCTGAACCTCCTTCCTAGAGGTTCTGCTCTGCACCAGTCATGTAGACTGAAGGCCTGGAGGTTCTCCACACAGTGTGGAGAACGTTGGTGTGGAACCAACTGAAGATGGTTCATTTCTCTGGCCAAAGACTGTTTCTTTCTCTGTATCGTTTCCTGTGTTACTCAATCACCTCCTGACCAATAAAAGCTCACCTACAGCTGATTGTTTCCTGTCTTCAGTTCTCCAGATGTTCCGTCACCTGGAAC